TAAGAACTCCGCATTTACTTAGACATTGATAAAGCATCCAAGAGAAAAAGCAGTTGCTACCTGTGGAGTAACATTGTGTGCTTCTGTTAAGGAAAAAGAAATAGATAATTGCTAGTATGAAAGAGTGAGAGTTTGTGGGAAGATGGATTATCATTCACTATAAAAACAGTATTTATCATTCACTATGAAAACACTATTTCCACTGAGTCCATGGTTTATGGCAACAATTTTAGTTCCTAAGATGGCTTGTAGAAAGTGTTTTGAGAACAAGAGTTGAGACATCAGGGGTGAACCAACCATGTATGTGTTTGCCCTTCACTAGTTGTTTGTGAGAGTTTATTCTGGATGTAGTCATCACTTAGTTTGACCTATGAAGTTTCCAGGACACCATTTGGTGCAAAGGATGAATGAGGTTACATTCTTGGCAGTGAAAATACAGCAGCTAGAGACATGGAAAATTGAATCTGGGGAGTATTATTCTTATTAAGAGACAGAAGACACTCCAATACAAACGTATCCAGAAAAGGTGCTGCAGGTTTCATAGCACTGTGTGTATAGAACCTGCAAGAGAAAATGTGCCCCATGCCCTACACAGCGTCACTTCAACACAAAACCGTTGTAGCTCATACTATTCCCTCATGAACATGGCAAAATCAGCAAAAATATAAGTGGACACATTCCAGGATTTTTATTAATATCGGAAAGCAGTAGTTGCTCTCATTCCATTTTTTATATTTTTACTTTTCTAAAAGAAAAAAAAAATATAGCAAATTTTCTGTTTGCAGTCTTTTGCTGATCAAACTATATAGACCAGACTACGTTTAGTTAAACCAAGCATTAGTCTTGGTTATCTTTTCTTTTACACTCTTTAATTCTTACCAATATAATAAAATTAAACACTTTAGACTTCCCTTCACTATGCAGTTAAATCAGTTACAGGACTTAAGACCGAGAAAAGTATCTTTGTTCTACATAGGTCCCAAGAAGAGCTACTCAGTCATCTGTGAAAGAAATAACTCCTTGATTTATGATTAAAAAGAATACCTGGATTATTTTCAATGAACCAGGACAAGTTAAGCTATAATAAGCTGCCAAAAATACCATATAAGAACAAGTTTTATCATAACATACCACCCGAAGGCAACCTCCACCCTTTTTAGAGACCTATGAGCTGACAGATGCTGCCTGCAGCATCAATTCTCTCTAAACAACCACTTCTCAAGAGAGAGGGCATCAGTGTCCTGGCCAAAATCAGTGCAATTGCTTCCAAGTGTGGCTGTTACCTCTACCAGCACCACAGCTGGCCACATTCTCACCATGTCACATACAGCTAGGGCACTAACTACCAAGAAGTAAAATTTTACTCTAAACATTCAGTACTGAGACAGGCAAGAATCACCACCAAAAATACAAATGGGTGACTGGCCAGCACTGTAACCCAAACGACCAGAAACTCCACATGCAACTAGAGAGGATCTGGCTCTTTGTAACAGCTGGTTTCAGGCCAAGAAAAAGCCAGACATCCATAGGGATGGCTGTGAATTGGCCAGTCTCCATCCACAAACACAGAAAGCTGCTGCAGTTCAACCCACAAGCGTTCTTGGAATCTGCTTGCTACAGCTTTAAGAAAGGTCAAATAGAAGGTGCTCAAAGAAATAGTCATGCTGTGATCACTCTGGCTGCTTCAATTGGGCAGCCAATTTTGCCTTGTGACAGACAGCTGGGAAATGCAGCTAGTGAGAGACTGATTTGTATTCACATTGGAGCACTTGTGTTTCATGCAGGCACATAAATTGTATAACAAGAATTCAGAGGATGGAGCAGCTGCATTATGAGGAGTGATTTCTCTCCTTAATGTGGAGACATGGAAGCTGAGGGGGATACAATTGAGAATTACACAATCATGAAGGCAGTGGAGAAAGTGAGAGCAGGACTGTTAACTCACCAAACTTTGGAATACTACAAGTATGGGCACTTACTCAGACCATGTGAAAGACAGGTTTAAAACAGACAAAATCAATAACTTTCCTTTAGAAACACAACAAGTAGTGAACTTTGGTCACATGCAACTGAGGAGACTGAGAATATCAGCAGGCTACACAAGAAGAGCAGTCTATACAAAGAGGATTAATTTATGGACAGCAGTTCCAAAACAGGTAAGGGAATAGGCACATGTGTGACTTCTCATGATCCTAATCCAGTAACTGGGTACTGAGAAAGAATGAGGTGAATGCATAACATGAAATCATGAGGATCATGGCCCAGTCCTATGTAGTATTGTCTGATTTTACTGTCTGATGCAGAAACACTAATCTAGACCGGCCATAGATTTGACACAGTAAGGCATTTCTTACACTTCAGTGCATGAAGCCATGGCTGGAGAAAGGTCATTGACACCATAGGCCTAAGAGGCCTCACCCACCCCAGGAAAAGCAGCTGGTGTGGCTTTACCTGTAATTGCTGTCCTATCACATACCATACTTGACAAATATGTGCAGAAGTTATAAATACAATAGGCATACATTTTGAAGAAGTTCTGGTACCTGTTAGAGCACTGAAGCTAAATTCAGAATGGTTTCTGTCATATCCCAGCAGCAGTAACTACTGACGTTTTGGAAAAATTTGTTTGCTGTTCTTCCTTACCTGCAATTCCTGTCCATAATGCTCCCCGCTCCAGAAGAACTCCATAATGCCACTGGGCTTTGTCCCTGCCATAGTACAGACTTCTCCAGAAAACTTATGTCCAAACACGCTCACCATACAGCTTCATATAGGAGGCATCTAATAATGAAAAGCCTGTCCCTTTCCCACAGTATGAGAGGACAGAGTTTTAAAGGACAAACCTAGCATTCAAGCACATGCTGACTTCCTCTGAGCACAAGTGATTTCACCTGTTTCCTTCCTTCCCCTTTCAGACCCCACAGCTGTGGCAGATTTGTTATTAACACACACAGCACATGTGCCACACTTCCCTTTATCTGCCCCTCTCCATTTCTGCACCCCTGAAGAACTGAAAGGAAACAAACCTGGGCAGAGTCATCTGGATGTATCCAAAGCCTAATCAAAGACTCATGAGACCTGACAGATTGACACAGCTACTGCTCCTCCTAGGTATTAAATGCCACCTATTTTCCCAGAATTTTCCATAGCTACATATGCATTTATATACTATACATCCCAAAAGCCTTCTGGGGCACAGAATTTTCTGTATTACTTTAAGTACTGAGCTAAATGTGGTGGCCATGACTCTAAACTTGACCCAATAAACTTACCCAACTTCATACTATAATGGATGGGTGGAGGGATTTCTGAATACATTTGTGATTTCCCAGGAAGGGAGGTAAGAGACAGATTGATCTAATTTCAGTGCAGCCCACTCCTTCCTCCATTTTGAGGAAATGTCTGTTTCTATTCTCTCTGAAGCCTGCCAGGCCACTGGGAAGGCACAACACTTCATTAATGAGATCTAAAAAATACATCCAGACACTAGCTCATTTCTTGGTGTTCCAAATTTAACCTAAAATCATAGCTTCGTATAACAAAAGAAGGCAAACATTTCCCAGGAGCAATAGAGATTTTTATCTAACTCCTGCTTCAATGGGAACCAAACAGCTGGCATTTGTTCTTATGTATTGGTAGCAGGATTAGTTACACTGTAGCCTAGAAAAGAAGCCTTTGGAAACTATGGCAAGAAATAATTATTAAAACCACCCATTTCCTCCACCCAGTATCATACAGGCAAAATCCTTTCTGTATCCTTAGACAGAATCCATTTGACAAGGTTGCCTGAGCTAGCAGAGACCTGGTCTGGATGATGGGAATCCAGGCTGGGACTAGAATCCTTCCCAGTGGAAGTGAACAGTGTCAACTCTTCTGACACTCAGAGCAACAAATGAGAAAGTTAGGTTCTCAACATAAGAAAACAGTTGATCTTTTCTGAGATCAGTTTCTTTTCAAATAATTTTTCCTCACAGCTGAGCTATTCATGAGATTACCTCCTTCCAACACCCTAAAAAAAATAACATATAACTATATGATACTAAATTGATTCTCGTTGTGGGAAAGGGATAGCCATGTAAAAATGTTCCTAAAACAAACAAACCATGAAATGGAAAATAGGAGCAGGAAGACATTAGAATATGTTAAGGGTAACCAGGCCTTGACATCACTCATCAAGCAAGACAGTTACTGCTCACCAGAGGCTGACAGCAAACAGAAAGAGTTACACTGATCATAAATTATCTCTAAATTTCAATTTTTATAAATTCTAACTGAATTCCAGGACATTTATTAGGAATTGCTTTATTTTTCACAGCCTTGAGGGGGAAAAAAAAAATGTGCATTTTCATTACTAGCCACTAGATGTCCCTCCTCACATTTTGTTCACTTGCCTACACCCTCTAACATTTTTACCCGAGAAAATGCTAAGTAATCAGTCTACAGAGAAATAGACAAATGATCAAATATAGCACAAAGCTTTCACAAACACAGCTTTTTTTGCAAGCCTGAAGTAAAAAAATCTAGCTTTCAAATACTCACAGGTCAAGGTTTTTTGGACCTGAGGCTTACATTCAGCACCACCTCCAATTGGAGAGGATGAAAAATATAATCTCTGCAGTTAAAGGTACAGAGTTATTAACTGTCCAATTAATTTCCAATTCAAATACTAACAAAGAGGGCAACTTGGGTGGAAACAATGCCTCCTGAGCCTCTGCAGAGTCCATTATACTCCCAGAGTGTGAGCCTTAAGCCCTGCAGTATACTCCTTATATGATACTCTCTTAGAAAACTTACCTTTTCAGTCCAGTCAGCTAAAAAAAAAAAATCAGCTCTTGTACGACAATTTAACTCCAATGTAAACCCAACTCTACATCCAAAATCTGCAGTAACAAATTCTCTCCTCTGTGTGAATAGATGGCACCACGTGGCATGAAGTGTTTTCAATATGACACCTACCAAAAAAAAAGTAATTGTATTAGTGATTGCAAAAGTATCATTACCAGATTAGCAGTTTTCAGCAGACCAGGGTAATAGTGAAGAACTGCACTGTAAAATTCTTTGAAGATAGAGCTGGATTTGTCGTAATTTGGCTGGGATTCTCTTCAGTATAATTCCTGTGCATTGTTTTCTGGTCCTTGTTTGGCATCCTAATGTGCCAGTTTCCTCTAAGCAAGGGGACATATACTGGAAGGAAGCAAAGAGGAAAGACTGAGACATTGGTAAAATAAAAGCAGAGCTGCATTCTAGACCACTTTCATTGCATTTTCTTAAGGCTCTATATGTTTTATTTCTGGGAAATAAACCGGAGAAAGAAGCCAAGAAAAAAGGTCCCACTTGTAAATCACCAAGTCTGAGCATCTCCAGCTTGAACAATTAATTGTGTGGCTCTGCATCAACCCAGTTAAATTTAGGTCTTCAAAACTCGGTATTTTTTAACAAGCAGGAAGTGCACAAACACTCTTGAACTCAAGTGACATGCAAACTAGGACACTAGTGCAGCCTCTCGGCTGCTTTTCTTCTGCCCCTCAAGAGTTGGCAGAGGCTCAGTTTGGAGAAGGAAACGCTACTGACTTCTACAACACTTCTTAAAGAGTTTTGTTCTCTCCACAAGCTTCTCCATTTTTCAGAGAATTTTTCCCCCTCTTATGAGAAATTTTAATGGAACTCAATTTAAAAAATTGCATTTGGAGTTTTTCAACCATTGTCTACATTTCGTGTTGATGTCACTGCTAAGGCAAAAGGTGGGATTTTAGCACCAGGAGCACAATGCAGCTGCACCCACTGTCACTCCAGTTTCCTCACACTTCCCGTGCTTTCAAAGATGAGATAAAACACTACTGATTAATGCATTGTGCAATCAAGAAAATGCTTCCACACTGCAGACAGCACACAAAAAAAATAACACCATCTTCAAAATAACACCATCTTCACGTTGTTGTCAGTTAATAAACTGGGTATAACAGGATTATGAATTATTAACGGGGGGAAAGGAGGAGGGATCAAGAACAAGGAGATTAACACTGACACCATTTCTTAAGAGATAAGCTCAGTTTTCGAACGAAACATTTTACTAATGTTCTTCTAATATATTCCTCAGTGTATAACAATTCCTTCCAGCCTTTGACTTAATAGGGCAGATCAATGCATCTCTACTCTAACTTCAATAAAGAAAAGCAAGATGGACAGTGAAAAACAAAGTGTTTCCTTAGCATAACTAATCCCATTCCAACCAATTCTCTCCAGTCCTCAAGACCCATCTTGTTATAGGAATTAACCCACTTCCCAAAAATATCTTGAAGAAGGCTTTCCAGATGCACAGAATTTTTATTCGCTTACAGTTTACATAGCCTAGAAATGCAATTAAAGAAGGTTGGCTTGCTGCTTAGGATAAAACTCACATTAAGTCCCTGCTCTGCCAGTGTCTTCCTGCGTAGTCTTAGACAAGTCATTCAGCACAAGTTTATCCTGCACAGCAGAGAACGCCGCAGAGCTGAGCGGCGGGTTCCCAAGCTGGGAACCACAGGTGACACAGCACCACTGTACTGTTCTGAACCACAGTCAGCACATGGCAGGGGTGCTGAAGAAGTTAGCTGGGTCACTCCACCGAGCACACTGCCCCAGGTCAGGGATCACACAGCTGCTGAGGTGTCTTTTCACCTACAGTAAAAGCACATCCTTAAGTTCTCTATTTAATTTCTCCATTTGCAGAATGGGAAGAGTAGCACTTCCATGTTTTACAAACGAGAGAACTGGTGAAGCACAGAGTACTAGAGAGGAGGGAAATGCCCATGGAACACTTGAAAGTTTCTTTGCTGCAGTAACTTTATCCCAGGCTTCAGAAAAAAATCATCTATATTAGCACTAAAAGACAAAGTTAAAACCGCAAACATTTAGGATCAAGCTGTGAACAGAAAAGTGCTCAGGACCAATTTGACTGAGAAAATAGTTAATCAAAAATTTCTTGAGGAAATATCTTTGCTCTTGGGAAACGTCAGTTTATTGAAACCTTTTGGAGAAAAACAAATTTCTGCTACGAAAGATTACTCAGGTTCAGGGAATATTTTCTAATGAAACCAAAAGGGAAAGGTGCCAATTCCAGAATGTACCGACAATCTGCAGAGTTAATGATAAGACAGACTTAAGTTCAAATCGCACACATGATGAGACTTGGCACAGGCAATTGAACCTAAGGCTCCAGATAAGCTCCTGACCTGGCTAATTTGGGAGTAGTGTGTGTCTTTTGTGTACATAATTTAATGCTCACTCTGACCCACATAAGAAAGACTCACATTATAGCCCAAGGTCAGCACACCTGCTTGGATGTGAGAAATGTATGCTTAAATGTCTATTTCACACAAAGCATTGTTGGGACTTGAAAGCAGTTCTTTCAAAAAACCAAATAAATACACCCTGGTTGGTGTACTTATTATTCTGGTTACAGTTAAATCTTTCAGAGGTATCTGTTCTGTACCAGTGCAGAACAGGAAAAAGGTTTTATGGGATAGGAAACCTGTTTCCTCTCCACCTCTAGAAAAAATATCAGATAGGCACAAAGGAAATTAAGACTTTTATGATAAAAGAACCTTCTAGATTTATCCAAAAGTTCACTGGAGAAGATAAGGAACTTTAAAATCAGGTACACTTATTTTCAGATTTTTGCTAGTGTAACTTGGGTTTTTAACTGAGCATTCACATAGAAGAAAGCTCTGTTAACTCTTTTGTCACTCCTAAAATGGAGCTTGCCGCTCTCTTCAGAAAACAAAGCCCCTTTTCCTCCACCAGTTAAGTAGAATACTTTATACTTGTTAGCTGTTCAGCTTCCTCTCACTGAAGTTTGATGTGAAACCATATCAGGCTATGGTCTTTCTCTGAACGAGAGCACTGAACTTACAGTTCTTTCACTTGTCACCCAGGCATCATGGTGCTTTTTCTGTTCCCTATTTGGATGAATAAATCTTCAGGTGCCAGTTCTGCACACAACCCAAAACTCTAACTTTTGGTCTCACACCCTGCCCCTAAGCTGGGGTGGCACAGAGTACACAAGATGATGGGCTGCTTGCTTCCTTTCTCAACCCTGAAACTCCACACCCAAGTCCTGTCCAAGTCCTTTTCATTAAGCAGAGTTATTATTAAGAACAAATTAGAAACTCCAAATAAAGCAGTCCAATATTAAAGTTCTGACCACCATCTATAGTCCTCTCCTCATTTCAGCAAGTCCTAACCTTTCAGCCTTCTTGAGTCCCAGTGTGAATCTCCACGTGACAGATGATGCATGGCTGGTGTATCAACCATGTGACAGAGAGGACAGAGAATACCATGCCACAGTATGCTGGGATATGTGACAACATAAGGATAGTCAGTTGAGCGATAACTCAACAGGCCAACAGTAATGGAAGATAAATGCAGAAGTTTCACAAATATTTGCTGACATTTTATAACTTGATTTGATCCAAATCTCCTCGCTCAGATCTGACCTACCCAGGAAAAGTAATCAGTATGACTGCACCTGAATAGGAAAACGTGTGGAGTCACTGTATGAGTCTGGGATGAAGGCATTCATCAAAGCCCACAGAACAGGGCTATTCTGGCACTGCTATGCTAATCAACCTCCCAGACAGACTAAAGGTTACATCAGCTCTGCAATCAAACAACAGAATATTTGCTGTTATCTTCCTAGATAGTCCTGATTAGCACTGAGGCAAGAGCAGAATTAGGGGCAAAGGTAGAATTCCTGCTCTGGGCAAATATCTGCTGCAACATGTGCATACTGCCTGACTGACCTCATAATGGTTTTTTGCACAGCAGAGAATTTCATTGCACATAAAGGTGTATGTATGATCAGGCTAAAGGCAGTACTGTTTGTGAGCTGGAGAAAACAAAACACAGATAAAGGAAACATCACATAAACAAAACAAGAAAAACACTTAAAATTTATTTTCAACTCTCTGACAGCAGCTTCCAAAAAAAAAACCCCAAAACCAAACAACAAATTAAACACTTAAAAAAGGTAGATCACATAATATGTAAAAAAGATACTACAAAGAAAACTTCCATTAAGCCGCTCTGCTCTGATGTTCCACCCTGATAGACACTGTTTCTCTCCTTTAAGTGCAGTAACTTGATTCCCACAGGCTCTTGAACAAGGGTCATTCAGAGAAGTGAGCTGAGCTTACTGCACTTCAAGAGAGCTCTTCAAATTGGCAAAACCTCTCCCCACCTTCAGTGGTCAATACATTAGGCCATAGACTTTCAGGCAGAGAAGAAAGGGCCATAAGGGATTTTAACATGTCATATAGACCCTTCCCCCTCCTCCCAAAAGCAGGATCAACTCTAACTCCTGACTGATGACCAATGCAGGAAACTTTTCCATTATATGGACTCTGTATTTTGCTGAGGCCATTTCTTCCAGTCTTTCACTGTGCTTAAGGAAAGGGTTTTTTCTAACATATAACCTGAATCATTTTCATTACATGAGAACATGTAATACTTCTTGTCCTATGTACCCTACACTTATAAGTCATATCTCATATCTAAAGACTGTACTCTTTTAGGCTTCTCTTCCCCAAGACTTAACAAATTCAGCTGCCCCTTATTCCACACAAGAAAAAGCCAAGGTTCATGTAAATATGTTCATAGAACGTAAGTACTGTGAATCCAAATTAACACCGTATCTCACAGAATTATTTTGCATAGAGAATTTGTGACTAAAAAGCTACACAGGTTTCCTCCCCACCTCCTCACTGAGCACAGCAGCCCTACTAACCTGTCAGGCCAAGGATAGCAGAGTTAACCAGCATCCACCATGACATCCCTTCCCAGCCCACTCCTCTCGGCAGTGGGGTTCAGCTCAGGAGCACAGCCGGGCAGCCACAAACCTCACCTCTTGCCCTTGGGCTCCTCACCTCCTCTCCTAACGGCCACCAGCAGAGTCAGGCCTGGATGAAAAAAACATCAATCAGCAGGAAATCTCCTACAGGTGCAAAGGAATCTGTGATATATAGTAATAGAGCTTTCAGGAGAACAGCCCTCAGAGCCTGTTGCAAGCCATCCTGTGTCATATAGAGGATCTGGGTGACTCATTTGCAAAGTTCTGAAAATCAGTTTAGACTAACTACAGGTGCCTTTGAAAGAAGCATTCCAAACACACACAGAATTAAATAGAATGAACATGTAAAAAAAAAAAAAAAGCACTGAAGGAAATTCAATGGTTTCTGATAATAGCTTCAGAGCTAAATAAACTCTGGGAGATAAATTCAGAAGGAGGGTGATTTGTCACATGTGGCATTTCACTGAACTCTTGCAGGAATACAGAAAAGGGCACCCCCTCCGAAACAGTTACAAAAAAGGAAGTTAGTGGCACAGAGAGGCTTAGATTACAGAGAGTTAGGCCAAGATCCATAAAGACAGCACAACCCCTGCTCATGGTCTACGCAACATTTAGTGTTACATGAAGGGTTACAATTCACACTAAGAAAATGTATGTTAACTAAATTATGGAACTAGTGGCCTAAAATTGCTGTTGAGAACTAGAAATCTCTGGTAAGGGCTTTAATTGCTCCTATGCAAGTTCATAAAAACACTGATTAAAAAACAGTCAGGTGCTTTTGAAGACTTTTTAAAAAACAAAATGACAGCATAATAGCAAAAGATTGGCAGAAATTAAAAAATGAAATATTAATAAAAATGTACACAACATTACAAAACAGAAAGTCAACACTATCACTCCCTATCCATGTTTACAGAAACAGGTTTTGGATCCCCTCCAATAGAGACAAAACTCCAAATTCACCCCGAAAAGCAGAGGAAAAAAATTACTTTTCAAGTACCTCTCGACACCACTTGAACATTTTTATCAAATATTTTGTATCTTATGAAAAAACTCTATTCAAAGAAATTAAAATAACATTTATCAATGTTATTTATTCTTTCATTAACAGGAAATCCACTTAAACCACTCTCAGGTCTGATTCACACAGAGTGCCTGCGCAGGCTTCCTCTACAGAGCATAGGTAAATTAAAGCTTTATATTGTTATTAAACAAAAATGTAATGGTCTTCTGTTCACTTATCGTCGCAGCCACAATAACCTGCTAGGAGAAATTAGAGGCAGCGTTGCTGAGATGTCCATTACACAGGCTGCAGGACAGGTAACAACATTTGTGGACAAGGAGACATCAGCTGTGCAGAAGAGGCAGCGAAGCCTCTGCCCTCTGCCGTCACCTCAGTTACGTTCAGTCTCTGCTGCAGGGACTCACTCGCCACAGCCACGCTCTATTTATTCCCAGATAAACAAAGTGTAATGCCATTTTATTACCTTAAAATACTGATCCCCTGCTCCTGACAAATTATGTGAAGTGGTGGCCAGAAGGGAAGGACACTGACTAATAACTAACTAATGTAAACAAAGCAAAAATCCCCTGGCAAGCCTTATTTTGAGGCCTGATGATGATTATCGGCTGTGTTTCCTTCAACCAAGGTTTGAGAATATATTTTAAGGCATGAAAGATACAAGGATTGTATTTCACTTCTACTATAACAAATTATTTTCATTTTTAGGAAAGAATAGTTCTTAACGTGCCAAAAATGCCAACTAGTCTTTACAAAATCTCTGGCTGTGAGTCAGGGTTATTAGCGTTTCCCTCATACAGATAGAGAAGCTGAGGTATAGACGGCAACGCGAATTACCAGCCCTGAATTAGTGCCAGAGCTCAAAATTGAAAATAGCATCCTTGCTTCTATGGACAGATGTGCTTAGTTTGAGCCAGGGGAGGCAATACAGCTCCAATAGAAATATTTAAAAAGCCTTTGCACCCTGTCTTTTCCCAATAGCTGTTACTGGAAGTATACCTGCCACTCAACCAAAATGCAGATGATGTCCCCCAATATGCCTGTGTGCTGCCATCGCATGACTGGCACGCTTCCAATGCTGTATCTGTAGAGGAACTGGGGACCACTGGGGAAGAAGAGACCAAGGGCAAGGGAAGGTATGACCTATTCTTACAAAATGTGTTCACTCAGGGGCTGTAGAGTGATTCCTGCCACAAACTTTGCTGCCTCTTTAGATATAAGGAGTCAACTTTTACCAATCTCCATTTGCTCACAGGTAAAAGGCAAAGACAATCGTAACACCAAAAACCTTACTGAAGTAATAAATCAGCACTGCTTGAGATCTCCACTCAAGAGAAAGTCCTTATTCAGTGAAGAAGTATATGTTCAAGTATTACAGAAGTCAATGTAGGTTGCATGAAGCAAGGCTGGTGATGTGTTTAGAAGGAAGAAGCAGGAACATGCATTTAGCTTAATTTCTCTGAAAGGAAATCAACCTTTCAACAATCTGGGCAATTTTGAGTTCAACAGAGTTGCTGAGTTCAAGTATTTCCCCTCAGAAATGATCTCATGTGCCCATGGAGCATTACAGGAAAAGTGGCATTTCTCTCTGAAATCTTCTGCCAGTCTCCATAAAGGTTATATACCCAGTTCTCAAGACTTATCAAATTCCATGGCAACCAGACCCCGGACACATTTCTCTCATTCCCCACAGTGGATGTTAAAAGACAGTCCTTTGTTTGGAGTGCTAAACGCAAGCATTTCAAGATGCCCTTCAGCACGTTCCTCAACAGCTGGCCTGTTACCCCATACATGTTCCTTTTACTCGGTGCTCAATTTACAGAACACTTTCCCCTTACACTAGCGCTTTCAAAATGGATTATTATTACAGGGTGGGGAGAAAACACAGCCAGCACTCCTGCCCATGGCAAGACATAGCACAGCTCTTATGGATGAGGACACAACGGTTGCACCTGGAACACATGGAGTAAGAACAGGCTTCCACATCTCTTGTGTTTTGTGGAGAACCTCCCACTATAGACATGCACTCCACCATATTGCAGGAGGGCTAAAAGAGAGAACCAGACAGTGAGGCCAGAGCAAAACACACCATCTTTGACTTGAGGTGCATCTCCGGGCTTTGTAGAGATGCATTTTGCCTCTTTCCAGGCAGAAGAACCCTGCTGGGCCCCTCCCCTGAGAGGGACGCACTCTGTGTGGCACACCCAGCAGTCAGCAACAATCACTTTGGGCCACTTGATGAGTCAAAACAGGAGCATCCCCATCACCCTACTGCTGTCACTCGCTGCTTTCTACCCAGGAAATTCATCCCGCCTCTTCTGTTCCCCAAAGCCACCTCTACGTGAAAACCTACCTCCAGGGGGCTTTACCGCCCGCTGCGGCCACCTCCAGCCACCCGAGCCCGCTCCCTCACCCACCCAAACCCACAGCGACGGCCGCGGCCCGGCCAACACAACCTACGGCCGCCGACCCCCCTCACAGTGACCGTTAAACGGTCGCCACGCGGCCCCGCCCCTCG